GAATAGAAATGGTAGAAGTAGACAGACTTGTTTCTGATCTTAGGGGAAAGTATTCCTTTTTTTTCTGTCATTAGGTATGATGTTAGCTGTAAGTTTTCTGTGGCATTGATGCCTTCTATCAAGGTGAGAATAATTCCTTCTATTCCTAGTTTGATGAAAGTTTTTATCAGGAATGGATACTGAATTTTATAAAATGTCTTTTCTATATCTATTGAAATTACCATGTTTTAAAATTTTTAGTTTGATGTGAATTACATTAGCTATTTTTAAATGTTAAACCAAACTTGCATTCCTAGTTTTAAAAAGGAAGTTATACAGTTTGAAGGTGGTAGAGTAATGATGATAGTTTTCCATCTTGGAAATCACCCAAGTAAAGATGAAAATGAGAAAAAAATGCAAATATTATGTCTGATGAAATCAGGAGAGAATAGAAACTATAAACAAATTAGGTGGACAGAGTGAAAAAATAAAGAGTGTACATGGAGTAGAAATTGGTATATCCACTTTGGAGATTATCAGGGAGCATTTACTAAAGTTGAATAGATACATACTTTATGACCCAACAGTTCCACCTAAGAAACAAGTACATCTGTCTACCAAAAACCTTAAACAAAAGTGTTCATAGATGCTTTATTCATGGTAACCCAAACCTGAAAAGAATCCAATTGTCTATCCACAGAATAAATTGTTGTCTATCAGATAGGATAGTACACACTAATAAAAAGTCATAAATTACTGATAACCTGGATAAATCTCACAGATGTAAATTGGGGAGAATCCAGACACAGGAGTGCATTTTATATGATTTTGTTCCTTATAATTTCAAGAACAGGCTAATTTATAAAGCAGGTATGGTGGCTCCCATCTGTAATCCCAGCTAGTCAGGAGGCTAAGACAGGAGATTTCAACTTCAAAGCCAGCATGGACAATTTAGGGAGACCTGTCTCAAAATCAAGTATGAAAAGGGCTGGGGATGTAGCTCAGTGGTCGAGTGCTTCCCAGTATATGTGAGGCTCAGGGTTTGATCCCTCATATCACACATACATGTGCACACACCTTTTGGGGGAGGTATTTAATGAGAAGGGGCACAATGGGAAATTTCTGGGATTGTGGAAAAATTCTACATCTTGACCTGGGTTGTGGTTACATGGACTCACATTTGTAAAAAATTAATTGAGATATACTCTCTAGATTTGTGCAACTGGGCTAGGGTTGTGGCTTAGAGGTAAAGTGCTTGTCTAGCATGTGTGAGGCACTGAGTACTGAGTTTGGTCCTCCGCACCACATAAAAATAAATAAATAAAAATAAAGGTACTGTGTCCATCTACAACCATATATATATATATATATATATATATATATATATATATTTTTTTTTTTTAAATAAAATTTAAAAAAAAATAAGGCTGGGGATGTGGCTAAGTGGTTCAGTGCCCCTGAGTTCAATCCTTAGTAACCGCACCCCCCCCACAAAAAAAGATTTGTACAATATATTGTATGTGAATTATGTCAATTAACAAGGAATCAGGGTTTCCCCCCCACACACAAAATAAGAGTAGTTTAATATGAAAACATAAAAATGATTTAATAAAAGAAACAAAAATAGAATTCACTGTATAAACAGAACAGAGCAGAATAACCAATTAGTCCTCATAATAATAAAAAGCAGTTTTATCATCTGATATCCATTCATGATCAAAACTGTTAGTAAACTAAGAATGGACTTTTTTTCTTTCTAGTACTGGGGATCAAACCTAGGACCTCATGTATGTTAAGCAAGAACTCTACCACTGAGCGTATCCCCAGCTACTGGAGAGGGATTTTCTTAACTGAATAAAGATTACTTGTAAAAAACCTAAACAATATCATAATTTTTAACAGTGGAAATTTAGAAGCAATTCCTTTTAAATCAGGATCCAGTTGAAAATGGTTAAGAACAGCAATTCCACATACCTTTGTTTGGGAATCTGAGTGCAGAGTAAGATGAGGAATACACAGGAAGACAGCCCATTCTAACATCTGTCTTTCAGATTCACCTGGTTTCCTTCAGTTTAGAATTTCATAACTTTCATGTGTTACAAATATTTTACAAGTACACAATAAAAATTTTAAAAACTTGAACAATTTTTAAATCCCATTTCATTAGGCTGAAAGATGCCAGATTATAAAAGAGTACCTATTGAATGATTCCACTTATAAAAATTCTATAAAATGCAAATTGGTCTGCAGTAACAGAAAGCAGATCAGTATAATGGTTGCTTGGAGACAAGAGCAAGAGAATGCAAGGAAATTGTAGGCGGGGTAAGAGGGAGAAATTATAAAGAAGTAGAAGGATAAATCTGATCATTTTAGGCTGGTGTGGTGGTGCTCACCTGTAATCCCAGCAGCTTGGGGGAGGATTGAAAGTTTGAGGCCAGCCTCAGCATCTTAGCAGGCCCCTAAACAACTTAGCAAGACTCTGTCTCAAAAAAGTAAGTAGAGCTGGGCTGTAGCTTCGGGGTAAAGTCCCCAGTATAATAATAATAATAATAATAAAAAGATTATCTTGATTGTGATGATAGTTTCACAGATGTATACATTATCAAACTGTACACTTTAAACATATGCAGTTTATTGTATATAAATTACACTTCGATAAAGCTGACTTAAAAAAAAAAGAATAGGTGCATTTACTTGCAATCAGAGTTTATCTTTCACTAGAGCATGTCTTAGATGTATCTGACATATGAACTGAACACAAACTGAACACAAAACCTATGCCACAAACTGAATAATGTAACAGAAGGCAAGTTATCTACTTTTGTTGGACAACTTCCATTTTAGATCAAATGTTTTGAAAAAAGCAATTCTACTAGTTTTAACTTTTCTTAAAAAAAAAATATTTCCCCTCTGGAAAGTAAAGGTTGATATCAGAGTAAAGTGCTCATACATTTTTTTGCTTCTTTTAGAATATCTTGGTATGGCAAAGGAATGGATCTAATTCTTTGAAAACCAAGATTCAAAAAACAAAACCAAGATTCCATGAGGAGACAATGCAAGACTGTCTTACTGAATGACTTGTTAATGGTCAATCATGGTTTCTGAGACAACACAGTTTGAATTCTGTTCAGAGCCAATAGTGGGCCTACATACTGGGGCAACATAAGATTTCCATTATTTCTGCATCTCAAAATAAAAGCCAGGAAATAATTTAAATGCAAATGATGGCGTGTATAAATCTATTTTTAAGTTTCTTGTTACCCAGTCATGATTGAATAAAATCTGTAATAGAGGAGCCAAATTTTTACAGGTGCTTTATACTACATGCTTATATGACAACAAATTGAAAATAATGTCTTTATTCTATTATGATAAAATTCAAATTTAAAGAGAATAGGATATTTCAGCACATTTTAATTTTAAAAGTGAAAAAATTAAGGCTAAAAAGGGTCAGGACATTGATATAAAGTAATTCACATTGCAAAATGGGGTAGAAGTGAAAGAGGTAGAATGCAGGGGAGGTTGAGCACGTGGAAGAGTCTCAAGATTGCTTACAGAGTGAGAATTCCAGAGTCAGGATGGAGTTCCAGAAGCAAGTGGAAAAACCCTGGAATTACTGAATAGGAGAGGTGACAGGGAATTCCTGGAGAACAATATGGCAAGCAACAGAGAAGGCCCAGCAAGCCTGGACAGCTCACATTGTTTTTATCCAGCAAATCAACCCAGGTGCACACTACTCTCTAGCAACAGTCAGAACCTCCAGAATTAAAGGTGCAAAAGTGTCTGGACACAAGAAAGGGTTTTGAGAAAGAAAGGCATAAAGCGGCAAGGGGCTGGGAAAAGTAGATGCAGTTGAAGGGCTACTCCAGGATGGGTTTTGCTAAGGAAAAAAACTTCTTTTTCTGCAAAGAAAATTATCTATTCATATCTCTTTAAAAAATTTATTTTTGTTACATGCCCTTTGTTTGTTTATGCCAACGAAATTCAAAAGTATTTGTTTCAGGCACTGGGTTGGTACCAAGACTGCTCTTCTAAAGGGTTTTATCAACTTGGGTTGCCTGTACCTGTTCCTCAGCACCAATGTGTTAATCACTTCCTTTTGCTTCCATTTAGTCTAGTAGATTGCTAGCCAGAATCAACAATTTTATGATCTACTATTTATCTCCTTTTGTGTTAGACATTAACATCCCTTTCAAAGGATTCATTAATAAGAATGGGAAGTGCAAGAATCATGTGCCATGCCCTCCCTCCATTCTACTTATTTAAGGGATCTTCATTTTTTTCTGCCACTACATCACTCATTAGCCCACTGCCATGTTCCATCCTGGACGCCTCCTGCCACTTCAGCCCAACATTCCACTGCTGATGCTCTTTGTAGGATCAGAATCCAAGGGTCAGGATCACTTGTCAAAGCTGAACTGCTGTACCTCTCTCTGCTTTCCTTAACTTCCACGTGGAGTTCAGCAAACCCTCTACACTACTACTCTGGTCCCGCAACCATGTTGGATTTCTTCTTTTGATTCCCACAACCAAAAGTTGGTCTTCATTTAATTTGTTCCCACTGCACAATACATCAAGTAAATAGTGAGTTTCTAACTGGTCTCCCACTTGGATTTGGGAGGTTCTGCTTTAGTTCTAAACACTTACTGAGTGCCACCATGGGCTAAGAATTACGCCAGATAAAGTTATCTACCTCCAGGGATAGATGAATATTGAATATATACATGATTACATGCAACTGGGAAATATAGATAAGAATTAGCCAGATCCAAAATTTTAGCCCTTGGTTTTTCTCAGGCCCAAAGAGCTGCTGACAATAAGAGACCTCTCCAAAATCTTTGCTAAATTTATGTGTTTTAGTAAAGATAGACATGAATGTGTTAGACAGCAGAAGAGCACATTCAGTGATTTCTAAATAGTGTGGCCAAATTTCCAATATCAGAGAAAGTGAAAGGCAACCTGACCAACTCTTAAGACCGTGGTTTGGGAGGCCCACTCCCTTTATACAGAATATGTCACTCTGTCCTTCCATGCCTTTATTGGTGACAGCAATGGACAAGAACAATGCCAGGCCCAACACCTGGGGTGCCAAGCAGGCCCTGCAGGGCTCCTGGCACATCCAGCCCCCAGCCCAACATCCAATCTACCCAGGCCATGTTCCCGAATGGGCATGTCCCCGTCTGTCCAGTTTGTATGTGTGGATCAGTCTGTCTGAGTGCCTGAGCCGTTGCCTACAGGGTCCCACCATCCTTGGCACATGGTAGGGGCTGTTGGGAACACAACGTGGCATTCCCCGGTGGACCACTGGGCCTCGGTGCTGACCATGGGAGACAGGGCCAGGGACTGGAGGTGGCAGGGGGCCAGGCACAAAGTTCACTCCAGGGCCACATCCTACAAAAGAACCAGCTGTCAGAGTGGGCTTCTGACCAGGGTGAGCAAAGCTCTGCCTTCAGGCAGCTCTGGTCTGCTAGGGTGATTTCTCTTGGCTTTGGTTTCCTCATTTGCAAAATGGGGATACCACTTCTCCTACCTCCAATGGGTAAATTATGATAATCAATGAACTGATTAAAGAGTCTGTAGGTACTATTCCAAATTGAGGGACTACTGTCACCAAACTCAATCCTGGGGGCAAAAGGAGTACCCAACTCCTCTCGGCTTACCTGGGTACAGCAGGCTGGGCTGGGGGAGGTACAAGGGGAGACTGGGAGAGGTGTTAAGGGGGGTCACAGAGGCACCTACCTAGGTTGGGTGGCATCGAGAAGTCCTCCATTGGATTGTAATTGAAGAATTCATGGGGTGGAAAGGGCTGGCCTGGGAAAAAAGGGGCATCCTGGGGCAGGGGTGGGAACAAGGGAGGTGGTGAGGGCTGAGGAAGAGGATAAGGAAAAGACATGGGAGGGGGTAAAGGAGAGGGTGGGGGTGGAGGCAAGGCCAGCTGCTCCCCGAAGTCTGGGGACTGCCTATGGCTTCCCTGGAATGGATGATCCATCTCTGGCCAGTCCTCAATCCACGGGTCTAGGAATGGGATGATTGTTTTAGAAAGGCCTGAGAAGCCAGACTGCCCTGAACTCTGGTTAGCCACACTTCCAGAGTTCTTCTCTATTCTCTCAGAGAACAGGGCTACCAGGCTGGAGTACCATGTACCTTCCACCTAGTTTTCCTCATTCTCTCACATTTTAGGCCAAGCTCAAGATATGCTCCTTTTTTCTTGCTTCACATTTCCCACTCTTCTGACTCCATCCTTCCCTCCCACACCTATTTCCTGTGCTTGCTCAATTCCTGAATCTTTAGCTTTTTCCTCTCCCCAACTCCTTCCCACAGACCAATAAATAAGCCAAATATAAAGATCTTGTTCTCCCTTCTCCCATTGGCCCCCCTTTCCTTACAAAGTTCTACAAGGACCATTTTGTCCCATTTCCATGTCCTCATCAATTGCTCACCATCTCTTTGGACCCTACTCCATGCCTTCAATGCATTTCCTACTAAAGGCAACCACTCATGGACATATTTAACCAATGGTCAACAGCCTCTGTCTTCCTTGAAAGTGCCTCTCTATCTTCACCTCCTTGTGTCTGCCATCAGTCCCTCTTTCCTGCCAATCTGAAGTGTGAGTACTGTTCTGCTTTCTTCTTCATGGTTCATACTCATACCCTCTACTTCTTGCCTGGTATCTAAATACAAATCCCCTGTATTTCCACAGTACCTCAGACAGATCTGCCCTAATCAAACTCATCAACTCATCCTTCCACCTCAAATCAATTCTTCCATTGAATGTCCTTAATTACTGTAGCTTCAAATTAGATTCAGAAGACCCAAGACACCACAAATTAGCCTTAAAACCTTTTCTTTGCTGGGATCAACTCTGTCATCTATAAAACAATAAAAGTCCTAATTCACCTCCCCGATGGATGCTCCAACTCCTGGCTACTAAGTTCTGGAGATCTGCCCGTATGATATTCCCAGCCTCTCTGTGTCCCCCACCCTTGTGCTGAGACAGTTTCTAACATAACTTATGCCTCCTATTCAACAAACACTGTCCTCTTGGAACTGTGTACAGAGTGACTGTGCTAGACCCTGGGATGAAAGGGGTGAATTGTGAACAAGTGAGGCAGGAAACTAGTCTTTTGAAGACAGGATGGAGGGGAAAGGCAGACACAGAAACAATCAGCCATGATGCCCCAGGTGTGAAGAGGCAGGGACTGGGAGGCTAACAAGGAAACAAATGTTTTGCAGTGTAGAATGTTATGGCTTAGATGTGATGGGAACAGTACCCCAGAACAAGCAGGAGGGGTAGAACCCTCAGAAGCCTGTGCTAGTAATGAGTGATAGGGCCAAGGACAGCAGTTCTAAGCTGCAACCAATGACACTGGGACCCTGAGGCTGAGATGAGCCAACAGGATCTTGTCCACTGAACCCATTCCTGTGAGAATAACCTGCATCATGTCTCTGCTCAGCAGTCTTACAGCTGACTGCTCCCCCTGGTCCTCTTGCCTCTGCCACACTGCCTTGACTACCCTTCCTCCATTTCTATCTTTCCATACTCCACACCTGTGCCTAGCTAAAAGTACACCCATTTTTTTCCCTGTTCACCTGTTGAGTAGAATTTTTTGACACCTGGCCTAATGCAATAACCAATGCTTGCATAAGCTCACTCATGTAAACAGAGGAACTACACAATTGGACTGTAAAGAACTGGACTCAGACTAAAATGTTGTTCCTATGAGCTAACCCTCCCCAGAGGATGATGAAGGCACACTCAGGAGCCATGATAGTCCTTCAGAGACCCCAACTCTCTACCTCTGTTCCGTTCCTTTCTTGAGTCCTATGTTCTGACAGCCCTACCTGCATCACTACCCAGCCCCTCTGTGGTAGGGCTCACCAGGGGGACGGTCACGCTTGGGCAGTTCCACACCCCAGGCATCAGCCACATGGGTCAGAAGCAGATGTGAGAGGTGGCGGTGTGCATGCTGGTCCCAATGGACACCGTCTCGATGGCGGTGCCGTACTGCATGCCGGAAATGAAAGTGGAGGTCCAGGACATCGAAGCAATGGTCCCCGGCCAGTGTAGCGCTGTAGAAGTTGCCCTCAACTACATCCCGTCGTAGAGTGCCCGCCAGTGGCTGAAGCTGAGAGAGAAAGTGCAGCCTCTATGAGGGTCCCCTATCTATCAGCTAGTTTTTCATCCCCTGTCCATTAAGGCCCCAGTTACTTGCCTCTGGCAAAAGAAAACCCCCAGTGATGCGTTTGCCTAGGGGCATTGCCATGTTCCACACCAGCAAACAGGAGTCTGGCAACACTTGGTCCATGCGCACAAACACTCGTTCCAGGTTCTCTCGGTAGCTTTCCATTGAGCAACGGCCATACCTATTACATAACACCAAGGGTGGGCAAGGAGCACAGGGGAAGAGCCATACCTCCACCTCCAACCTGTATTTACCTCTCCCCTGCCCCAACCTGGAGAGATCCCAGAGGCAGGAGTTGATGATCACCAAGTCGGGGGCAGGCCCATATGTCAGCTCCTCCAGGACGTCCTCAAGGTACTCAGAGTAAACGCGGGTGAGGAAGTAGAAGCGTACAAGGTGGTGGCCAGAACCCGAGCAGAACTGGCGGACCTCGCGATACTGTGTCCCGTTGTGCAGCTCACCCAGTTGGCCCCCAGCCACCAGCTGGTCCTGTTCAAAGCTCAGCTCCCCCTGCCCACCCCCCAACCCTGCTGGTCAGACCCATGCCAGGGAGGTGGACCCTGCCAGGCCAGGGTCTGCACCCACCCACCACTGGCATAGCTGCAAAGCCTCCCTCACCTTGGCTTTCAACTGGGCAGCTGTGAGCAGTGAGTCTTTCTGGAGCAGAAGCACCAGGTCCTTATACACAGCTCTCTGGACTGCAGGGAGACAGTGATTCCCAAGGCTGAGGCAGACCTTGCCCCATCCCAGCTCTTCCCAAGTCTAAGCCTCCCATCTTCCCAGGGCTGGGCTGCCCAACACCAGCTCCATGGAATATTCACTTAGGTACAGGAAAAAAGGGAAGATTTAAAAGCCCTGGCACTGCCTGTTCTTTCTATTTGTGCCCCTGTCAAAGTAGAATATTTGACCCTAGATCACCTGGCAAACTCAAATTGGTCAAGTCCCCCAGGAGACACATGATACAGCCCATAGCTCCTTTTGGGGAGATCATGGGGGACTGTGAGGGAGAGAAAAATGCTAAGCAAGGATGGGCAAAAAGTGCACAAGTTACATGTCAAGACACCTGTGGAAGATGTGTAGGGAATTAAAAAGGGGGGACATCTATTTAACTAGAACAGACTAGGGGGCAGAGAGACCTGAGATGGAGGCAAAAGGTGCAAACATAGAAACAGGTTGCAGATGCAGGTTTGGGACGCGTCATTTTAGAGGGGGCACTCACTGGAGTCCCCCAAGATGACCACGAACTTGTTGTGTAGCAGCTGCTGGACTTCTGAGGCCTGGAAGTGGACCATGGCGCTTCGCAGCGGGCGGTGCGGCACCTCGTTTTCCAGACAGAAGACCATGCCGCCACCGACAACGACGGGCTGCAGAGAGAGGCCACTAAGCCGCTCGAGGGCGGGGACATGGAGCAGGTCGGCCCCAGGGCCCGCCCTGGGATAAACGAGGTCTGCGCCAGCCCCTCCCAGGCTGCTCAGAGCTACAGAGAGGCGGCTGCGGCGATAGAGGGGAGCCCATAGCAGCGCCGGCCTTGGTTAAACTCCGTGCGGGAGGCGGCGGTCGCCGGGCCTGCAGGCCTCCAGGGCACTGTGGCGCTTCCCGCGCGGCGGCGCCGCCCTGCGCCCCGCCACGTGCCCGCTGCCCCGCGCATGCGCGCGCGCCCGCTCGCGCCAATTACCGAATCCCGGGGCTCCGCGCAGTTCACCGGAGAGTAGTGCGAGACCGCGCACTGCGCGCCTGACCCGCAGCGGGCTCCAGGTCTAGCCTCATGTTCCCGCGCCCAGGGAGGCCAGTCGGTTCTGCAAAGCCCCCGCCCTGCAGAGCCCTTGAGCCCTGGTTAGCTGTCGGTGCGCAGCCCGACGCCCAGCGCTCTCCATGCGTGCGTCGCGGTGGCCCCGACGGCGCCTCGGGCTTCGGCGCCCCAGGCGGCGTCGCTCACAGCTCCCACTTCCGGTCACCCATGTCACCCCTGCGCACCCTCAACGCCCGAGGGGATAGAAAAGCGGCAGGGTCAGCTGCTAAGGGGCCCAGGAGCCAGGGTCAGGCCCACCCGGGCGGGTGGGAAGCCCGGTGCGGGCGGGGGGCACGGCGACGGCCGACAGCAGCTGCCCACAGTGGTGATGGCCGCAGAGGCGGCCTCGACACGTGACCCGGACGGGCGGAAGCGGAAGTGCCGGCCTGGAGCCCGCGCTAGGTGGCTGTCCTAACGTTGCCCAGCCGCTGTCTGCACCAGCCATGGACTGCTACACCGCGAACTGGAACCCGCTCGGGGACTCTGCCTTTTACCGGTGAGCCGCCCCGCCCTCCTGCCTACAGCCCGGCTTACCTCGCTCGCCCGCCGGCTCGGGTCTCAGGGTAGAGCCGGCGGCGTTCACCCCTGTCACTATGGGCGCTGGGGTCCGCCCCGCGCCGGCTCTCCCTGTCAGTCAGTCAGGGACTTAATGCACCGCTGCCTCTGGGCAGGGAGCCGGGCCTGCTTCAGAGAAACGACCGAGATGAGCGGTTGCCACTCCCAAGTTTAGGTCTGTCAGCCTCCGGAAGGATGCTCAGATCTCGTTGAAGGAGGCCGCCCGCGGTGACAGCGAGTACCCAGTCTCCTGCTGGAAAGTGCTGCTGAAGTCAGACCACAGGGGCGCTCGGAGGGGGGCGGGATCGCACGGCGGGCGGGGTGTCTGTGCTGACCAAGGCAGGGAGTAGGGGGCGAGTTGTCAGTGAATCCTGGAACAGCGCAAGTGAGGACCCCCTGGTCCGGGGTAGCCTTCCCGCGGGAGTCCTAAACCAGGGATTTTAATTAACTTGTAAAACATCGTTAGCCTGATCAGGATTTTTCAACAACTTCCCTTTGTAAACTAAAATACAGTCTATGTGTTTGTCGGCCCGTATTTGTGTCTTCAACCTCATCTGTTGCTCTCTTATCCAAAGCTTGTGTTCCAGCTGCACAGAATTTCAGGGCCCCAACATACAGTGATATTTTATGGCTTTCTATGTTTGTATCAGCCTACAGTTCTTTCTGTGGGCATTGCCATTTCCCTCTTTAACTCACTGAAGAATTCTTGCTCATTTTTCAGGACTTAGTTCAAGAGTTCTTTCTAGAACCTTCCTTCGCCCTGTCCCGATTGAAATCCTTTAGGCTTCACAGGGCCTGGTGCTAAGATCTGTTATATGTGATACAGTAGGGCAATATTTGTGTGAGTTCCTTTTGCTAAACCAAGCCCTTTGAGGGCTGATATCATGTTTCTTGCATTTTTTTTTATCTCCAGTGCATGTTTAGAAGTGTCTTCTGTGTAACAGTTTTCCAATTAAATTTTTAAAGAATAATTTTAGAGTTGGGAATATAAATCAGTGGAAGAGCCCTTGCCTTTAGGGAGACCCTGGATTTGATCCCCAGCACTGGGTGGGGGGGGGGAGATATCATATGAATTACAATTAAAAGATCGCAAAGACATTGCATCAGGATATTTTTTCAATAGAAGATATTCATTTCTGCTGATGAAACTACTATTCTTACTCATGTATTCAAACTTTTAAATGTAATTTTTGATTTGCAACATGATACACTTCCTAGTTAAATGCCTGGTAACAATTTTTAGAGATCTGTTGCATTTATTCATGATAATTCTCACGAATTATCATGAAATATGCCTATACAATATGAAAAAATTGCAAAAGTTTACTTAAAATCAGTAGGAAATACTAATGATTTTATGTGTTTCAGTAGAGAAGAGATACCAGCTGACAAAGTTAGCATATCATTTAGTGTTCACTCACCACCTAGTTAACACAGCATTCACTTTTTAAAATATTAATTTGTAGTATTCTTGAAAATACATATTGCCTGCCCAGGTCTGTTGAATCAAAGACAAAAGACAATGTCCTCATTACCACTGAACTCCTGTTTAGACCACTAAAGTTTTTTTTAAAAAATCTAAGTCTTGAGTGCATACTATTGACCTGGAGCTGGTTGGCCAATCTACCCTTACCTGTTCTGTACTGCCAGAAAGGATTAAGGGTCTTAATCTTGCTGTAGAGAACATGTTCTAAGTTGCTAACAGATATTTAAACTTTCTTATCTGCTAGACGCTATCCTGAGTACTTGTGTGTTGATTTGCTTAACCTTAACAACTTCATAATGTAGGCATCATGATTAGCCCCATCCTTTTGATGAAGAAGCTGAGGGTCACAGAGGCCAGGTTACAGTAGACCAGGTTATGTAGCTAGTAAGTGGTAGAAACAGGATTTAGACCCAAATGGTCTAGTTCTAGACTCTGCGCTAAAGCATAAGAATTGTTTTGTTTTTTTAAACAGGAAAATGTAAGAACATGTTCTAGTTTCAGTACTGAAAATGCTTTAAGTAAAGGTTCTTTATTTTCTTCATATTTGTACAATCCTAGGACATATTTGTATTCTAGTACGTGAATTGAATGATAAGCAGGTGGGAGACATTGCATTTTGAGTCCTACTGGCAGGACAGGATTCTTCTGCACTAGAGGTAGTATTCTGGAAATTCTGAAATTGGGGAAGGCAAAGAGAGAAAATGGTGACCAGGTCTTATGGGACTCTAAATCTAGACTTTTTTAGTTCTGGGAATTGAATCCAGGAGGCACTGAGCCATATCCCCAGTCCTTTTTTTTATGTTTTATTTTGAGACAGGGTCTCACTAAGTTGGTTAGGGCCTTACTAGATCACTGAAGCTGTCTTTGAACTTGCAGTCCTCCTGCCTCAGCCTCCTGAGTTGCTGGGATTACAGGCATGCACCACTATGCCTGGCAGAAGTCTAGCCTTTTTATCCTAAAAAAAAAAATAAATAAAATAAAATCCTGAGTTGCTGGGATTACAGGCATGCACCACTATGCCTGGCAGAAGTCTAGCCTTTTTATCCTTGAGCTATTGCCATTATTTAATTTGACCCAGCCTTTGCTAGTTTGAACTTGTATTGACCAATACAACAGACATGTACTCTTCCTGTTCTCATAGGGCTAACAGTCACAGGGCAAGACCATTAATAACCATTAGGTATTTGTTTGGTCTTAGTCACTATGAAGGATAATCACTGAGGTGTAGGAGCACATACCTTAAGAAAGCATATAAACTGGGTATGGTGGCACACATCTGTAATCCCAAATACTCGGGAGGCTGAATCAGGAGGATTGTAAGTTTGAGGCAAGTCTCAGTAACTTAGTGAGACATTTCTCAAAATAAAAAGGTCTGGGAACATAGCTCATTGGTATGTGTCCCTGGATTTAATTCCAATATAAAAAATGAGAGAGATGAAGAGAGTGATTGGGAGTGGGGGAAGATAAAGAAGACTTTTCAAAAAAAATATTTCTTTTTTAGTTTTAAGTGGATACAATATTTTATTTTTATGTGGTGCTGAGGATTGAACCCAGTTCCTCACATGTGCTGGGCGAGCACTCTACCACTTGAACCACAACCCCAGCCCCCAAGAAGACTTTTTTAAAAGAAAGAATAATGTCCCATCCAAGAGATAAGTAGACTTAAGTGCAGGGGGAGGGTTAAAGAAGAGCATATACAAAGGTCCTGAGGTAGGAAGGTCTGAAACACTCCCAGTGACCTAAAAAGCCAGTGGGATTGGAGTGCTACAGGCAACAGGCAAGACAAAAGCTGAGGTTGATGTCCTTCTTTTAGGAGTCACACTCTACAGGAACTTATAGACCATCTTATTTGAAAAACATGAGAAATTTAAATTAAGGAAAAGATTAACATGAATGGATTTGCACCGCTTGGGGATTGTTGTGTGTTTTAAGTTCCTTCTGGAGGCAGAAGATGGAAGTAATTGGAAGAATGGAAGCAAAAGAGACTGAGTAAGGAGCCTAGGGAGAAGTTGTGGGTGGTGAGCACTGGGTTAGTGATGGTAGGTGTGGAAGGGGCCTGAGCAATTTAGTTGGTGAAACAGAAGGAGGTTGTAATGACTGCACTTGGGAGGGAGGAGGAAAAACAAGGAATCAAGGATGACTTTGAGTTTTGGCTTCAAATCATGAAAAAGGAAAAGTGAGTTTGGCAGAGAAGAGAGTGAGCACATTGACTTTCAAGCTTTTCAGAAACATTCTTATGGTAAAAGAAAGGATTATGAATCCCTGATGTTCTTAAAAGAGAGGAAGACTATTTTAGTACTATACTTGTGTTTTTGTTTTGCTTTTTTGCTAATATAAACAAATGTTTTAAAAATTGGGTTAAATACACATAATATAAATTTATCATCCTATTTTTTAATGTATTCAGTATGGTTAAGTATATTCACAGTGTTGTACCACCAATTTTCAAAACCTTTTCATCTTGTAAAACTGAAATTCTGTACCCATCAATGGCAACTCCTCACTTTCCCCTCCCCCAGACAGTGGCAGCCATCATTCTATTTTCTGTCTCTATGAATTTGATTGCTCTAAGTACCTAATAGTAAGCAGAATCATATAACATTTGTCTTTTTGTGACTGGCTTACATAATGTCTTCAAGATTCATTGCCATTATAGCATGTCATAATTTCCTTCTTCTTTTTTAATATTTTGTATTGGGGATTGAATCAAGGGGTGCTTTACTACTGAGCTACATCCCCAGCCCTTTTTATTTTTTATTTTGAGACAGAGTCTTGCTGAGTTG